GTGTGTTTCAGTTGAACTCACCCACAGCAGTGTGCAGAAAGATGTGTGACGGAACTCAAGGTGCTGAAGGACCACTGGGAGCTGCAGTAAGACAGTGTGGCCGGGTCACTGTGAAGAGAGAGAAGCAGACTTCATCTCACACTCAAACAAACACAGGCAGGAAACAGAACCAGAAAAAACAAGCAAACAAAACAACATCAATAGTCCTCCACCGAGCACCCACCTGATTTTAAAAAAGTTATTGAAAGAGGAGTTGCCATTGTTGCCAAAGGCATCTTCATTTTCCAGGTTCTACAGAAAAAAGGACATGAGAATAAAAAAGATGCAGTTTCAAGTAGGATTGGGTGATATGGCCAAAAATCATATCAATATTAAATGTTTTATCAGTCAATATCAACAAGTGTGTAATATTTTAACAAATACATTTAAGAACAAAAATTTATATAATTGAATTTGAGACTTTTTTAGACCCTGTGTATCATATTGATAAATTCTGAACTGATGTACTGATGAACATTGTATTGCAATTGTATTGAGCTCTGTAGCTTTATATTTGAATGCAGAGAAGGTGCATGTGTACCTGATACTTCAGGTTACTGTGTTCAGGGGAGCCAGTGGCAGCAGGTAGAGGGTGAGTCTGAGGTTTAGAGAAAGTAAGAGGACCAAACGTCATCTCTCCTCCTTCTCTTTCCTTGTCTCGGCCCTTCCATCCCTCCGCCTCGCCATTTGACGCAGCTCCCTCCTCGTCTCCCTCCAACACAAAGGCATCATCGATACTGAACTGCGTTGCCATGGTGATTGCCTCTTAAACCCTGAGGTCCTGTAGCTTGATGCTCACTGTGGATAAAGAGGAAAAATCTGTTTAGACACTTCGAGCTATGACAGAGAAACATCTTGTGGTATTATTTAGTGGAAACAATCAATGTCTACATTGATCTATCAGGCTACACTAGGTCATCTATAGTAAACTGCCCAACAAAGTGAAATACATGGAATTATTGAGAAAAACGTTTTGAACTTGTAACATCTGTGAGTGTCAACGTGGGTATTTCTCTTCAAATGGGTTAAAGAATGCTCACATTTCGAGCTCAATATCCACTTGGATATACCATACAGTTGAAAATGTTCAGGGTCACATGAGTTAGATTCCTGGATTATTGTCAAAGGGAAATATAACGGTTTCACGATTATTGATACTATAGAAGGAAAAGACAAACAACAAACAGTATATAGTGAATATATAGCTAATAATATAGCTAATGAACCCAAATATGTATTATTATCATAAACAATATACAGACGGCTATTTAAAAGTAATTTATGTAAGCTATTTTATTTAGTTGCCTTAATGAGAAGGTTGGTCACTGAATTTGTTTCCTCTCATCAAAAGCGGTGTATCTGTATGGGACATTTATTGTGAAGGGTCACCAATGTAAGTGGTTTGTTATGGGAGCGACATATTGACTAGTTGTGAAAAACTAAACGTGTCCTGGTTCAGGCCACATTCTTCGTGTCCTTATTATACTATTACCTCTCAGTACAGGAGAACTAAACTCCTACATTTAAATGGTTAATAGGAAGAAAGAGAGGTGTGTGTGTGTGTGTGTGTGTGTGTGTGTGTGTGTATCAGCCGCTCTTTCGGAGCTGGTCAGAAACGGAAAATACACAAGGATTTCTCCTCTGTGAACTCCTCCGATGGAGTTCCTTGACCAGCATTGGTGGAAATAAGTAACTTCAGTTGTCTCTTCTCAACAAACGTTTCAGTGGCTCGCGCACACAAACGGGACTCGCGAGAGGCAGTACACCATAGTTAAATATTGTAGTTTTTACAATTCTTACGGTTATGAAATCGTGACGTTATGAAATCGTGACGTTATCAAACGGCGGATATAAATTTTCAATATTAAATGTTTTGAATCCACATTATGATTCCAGTGAATCATAAATTAAGAGAGAGATTGGAGTTCATGTTCCAACCAATCGATCACATTAAAACATAATGCTATATATGCTACAGAGGAAAAAATAAATGATCCAAGAAAACAAAGTTAAACTTGATCAGAGTTCTCTTGAAGGCTATATTAGGGCCGGGTCTAGACAGGCATGTATGAGGGGGCAGCCACAAATCTTGAGGGGGCATTGTGCGAAACATGACATGAGAAACAACTTGATATATTTTATATTTGAGGGGGCAAGCAAGACATTAAGACATTAAGAAGTGGAGC